ATCAACTTAAAAACTTGTATCCCGAATGAGGGTAATTAAGTACATACAACTTAAGATTTATTTTAAATAATGTGGTAAAACTAGTTGGAACAACTTGATCTTGGGAGTAATCAACTTAAAAACGTGTGTTTATGCTACCAATTATTAAGTAAGTGGTAATTAAAAACACCTCTGATTGTAGAAGAAAAGCCTTCTCCCCTAACTCAAATAAGTTTGTTGGTTTAACACAATTTCATTAGAAGTTGTCATAACTCAATAAACATTGATGCAAACTGTTGCGTTGATTTTCTTTGTTGAGCCAAAGCATTTGTTTTTAGAGTGTGGAGTTTGCTTGAAGAGATGTAGCATTTGTTCACAGACAGACTGTACACACACTACACAGCTATGACGTTTCTGCTGACTTCATAAGACGGGCTTGCAAAGCTCTAGTGGAAACCCCGGCAGAGTAACCAGCAGACACACAGCTGACAACCTAAACTATTGGATGTGGTGGAGTCTTGCAGGGAAAAAGTTTCTGCATGTGTCCCAACAATGCATGCAACACGGCAGCTGCTAACTCTCCAGACAGGTGAACTGTCTGTGCTCTGCGCTCATGCTGCAGCTGTTGATAAACGAGGGATTAACCTGTTTGTGCAAAGGTTATTGCTGCAGCTTGGCGGCTTGTTACGTAATTCAACCACTGCTGCAGACAATGTAATAATCCGGTTGGTTAAGGGTTAGTTCAGAATTTATTACATTTACCTATATCTTGGAGCTCACCTCACAATGTAAACAGCTCACTGGAAAGCTTAATGTGATTGGGATTTGATATTAAGGGAGAATTGTTTCCAGTGATTTCTGTTCTGTTTTGACCTGATATGACATTTCTGATTTACGTCAAAGGGGGTGTGGTATTTGGAATATTACTTCTCAGAACGGTTGTGCGTATGACTGGAAGAGTACAATGAGTAAAAGTAGGAATGTAAATTAATACTGAGACAGATCAGGGCAGGCCAGGAATTAGCCAGAGGCAGGTGGAACCAATGCACGCACGCAATTAACCAGTGTTCAGAATCAAAACTATTTTTTTGAATAGATTTATTGTACAATATCTACATGGTTCATTGTGTGCTTGCTTGGTATTGTGTCTTACTGTATAGCATGTTTAAATCTGCCTTTCAGTTCAGATTGCTGTGCATTCATTAAAGGAAGACATTTTGACTTTTACTTAAAGGGGACCTATCATGTAAAATGCACTTTTGTATGTCTTTTATACATGAATATGTGTCCCCGGTGTGTCAGGGAACTCACCAAGTGTCAGAAAACACAACGCTTTCTCTTTTCCTCCATACCCAAATCTCTAAAAACGGGGCTGCAACGGAGCTGATACAGATTTGAAATTGTTCTGACGTCAGAAACAGGGAGCTCCGCCTATATGGGCAACTCTCCACCTATCAGGGGAATGTGGGGTTGGGCCACGGCCGGCCACTGCCGCTCGAAAGCGCTGGAGACGCTGTAGTACATATGCCAGGCCTGTAAGTGGCGCTGTAGTCTGCCACAAAAGCAGCGAAGAAGACTTCTCACAGAATCAGCCCTTGCAAAAACAGGGCTGGAAAAGAGCAAATAGAGCGAAATGAGGCATGGCTAAAATGCATGATCTGTTTGGTATTTTGAAAAAAAACTTCACAGACATGTTTTATATACTGTAGGTATGGCCCTATAATATATTATTCAAATATAGCATGATAGGTCCACTTTAAATACTTTTTTTTATAAATCAAACCTGCGTCAAGGTGTTAGTCAGTTCCTAGCAGAGCTGAAATATTACTGCAGTCAGACATTAGAGCAGTTTGCTTCTTGGCACAGTTCAAGGCTAGAATGGTGAATGTAAAATTAAAAGGCATTTCAGAGCTATTTTCGCTCGTACTGGCCATCCTCTCTTTATAAATACATTTATTACTGAACTTTTTCTGTTCTCTCAATCCTTTCCTTCCCTTTTTCAAGTTTTGTCCAGGTCTACCCTAGTTAGGGGAAAACCGGTGGGACTCTTGATGCTTAAATTATCCATCAGCTTTCAGTCATTTTATATTAGCCTGCGTTTGCCTTCACAGCCATCAGCTTAAGTTCTGCCTGTCTAATGCTAAAGCTACTGTAAGCCTTTGAAAAGGCCAAATATTTACATGCATGTGGTCACTGAGAGCAGGGTTTGTCGAATGACCCGACTATATCAAGCATTAACTTACATAATCCTCTTTGGAAATGCACACAGTTAGATCAGACAGAGGAATCGGATTTGTGAATATAGAAATAATAAATCTGCTGCACATCCGGATTTGGCTAAGTTGTGGGTTAATACATCTTCTGCAGAGCAGCAGCAGCTTTTTTCTTGGAGAGCTGAAACTAAAGGATGCCCTTACTATTCATTGAGTTCTGTCCTGTCCAGTTCAAGACTTCACCGAAATCTGTGGAGCACATTTATCTCGATCACACATACTTGTCAGGAAAATGAATCCATAAAGTTGCTAAGGCCCTTCCTACAATCAGGAGATGGTAAGCCATACACTCATCATGTGCACTTTGCTCTATATCAGTCAATCGCGAGTGCAAGTGGGACCTGGTAGGGTAAATCATATTTCTATATGCTCCAAAATGGTGGAACGGGCTCCCCATTGACTTTAGGACAGTGGAAAGTCTACACATCTTTGGTAGCAGAGTGGAAGAAAAGAACATTCCACCTTGCACAGTGAAAATAACCTTCTAATTTCTGTATCTATCACTGTTTGGCTTATTTGAAACTAAATGCAAAATGTTAGTTAAAATGGTTTGGCTTATTGAAAGCTAATAGACTTGCAGGGTCATTGCTGTTCCAGGTTTGTATGTTTATGAATGATTGCACTTATTGTAATTTGCTTTATGCTAAATTAATATAATCCTTTCTAGCCATAACCGAGACATTGAGCCTGTTAATTGACGCTCTGTGATGAGAGGGGCTGATACCGGTGCTGGCATACAACTCGGGCCTTTCTCTTGGCCGGAAGGAAAAAGGCTCCTCGTGGTTGAGGACGGACGGGACACCCGGCCAGTCGTTCCGGGAGCTGCGGCTCGTTCCAGCGGCGTCTGAGCCATGCTCTGAGCTAGCCTATGTTTCGGATATGAGGCAGGCTTCTTCCCCCGTGGATGATGATTCGCTTCCAGAGTCGGAGATAGCGAGACACATGTGGAAAGGACAGCACCAGCAGGTAACCTGAAAATATCATGGAGGACTGTGTAGAGCAGCAGCGATGTGAATAAGCAGGCAAGTAGCAGCAGCACCATGAAACACAGCAGCAGGAACATGAACGTAGCAATAGCAAGTGAACACAGCAGTGGCAGCAGCAGCATAGCGAGGCAGAGGCAGGAAGACCTGGCAGCTTAAATAGAGCGGCATGTTTAGGAGAATGTGTTTGGTTCGTTGTAAGAGGGACGAGGTGCGTCACGTGTTAATGTATCATTGGTGCTCGAGTTGACTGCCTGAACTAGCTCGCAGGCTTCGCCCCATAAATGGCGACTCATGCAGTTTCCGGTGGCACATGGAGTTGTCTTAATTTGAAACTAACAAAGGAAAAAATATTCAAGTACTGATTCAAAGCTAAACATATATGGGGCAATTTAAAGAGTGAAATATAGTTAGCAAGGAGAAGATTAGTTCAGACAGTTAGTCCATAGGTTTTTGGACATTGGTGTATTTGCAGTTTGGCTAGTAAGCTAAAAATAATAAGAGTACTAGATTATAATTAACTTGTCTAGCCACTACCACCTGTAGGTTAAGTCTGCTATAGCTTTTGTGCCAACACAACTTCCTGTGTACAGTTTATCCACCTTTATTTCCCTACTGATTGAGATTTAAAAAACACTCAGATATATAGGACAGTTCTTCCACTCTTATCTAAAGGCAGCTAGGTAACATGTATTTATTTATTTTTTAGAATGGACAATGCAGTGTATCTGTAGTCCCTAAGCAAGGCCTATACACAAAACCAGAAGTTGTAAAGACAAAAGATAAGTAACAGATGAACATTTTACCAAGACACTACCAAAAAAGTTCTGTTAAAATTGTGAAAAACAAACAGGATTTACTACTTTTTCAGTGATTTGATCAGCAGACATTCACTACATACCTGTTCAAAATCATGGATGTGTCCACTGTCATACTTGCCAACGCGATTTTCGCGGGAGACTCCCGATTTCATTGTCCTCTCCCGGTTTTCCTCCCGGGGTCATATTTCTCCCGCATTTCTCCCGATTTCTGACAAAATTAGATTTACTCACGACTGTTTCCACTCGGACTTTAATACAGCTACACCATTGTTTGGTTTCCATGGCAGCGCGTCTCTTTAGTAGCGCGCGCAACTGAAAGTCTGAGAGGGTGTTCAGCATGGTGAGGAAAATAGTCACAGAAAACAGAACAAGAATCGACAACTCTACCCTCTGCTCACTCCTTTCCTGTAAAATACAGGACCAGCCCACACATATGCTCCATGGTGCCACAGGCCGCAAGGCATTGCACTTACAACTACAATAAGCATGTTAATGTTAATCTAACAGCTCCGGCGATCCACTACTATTTATAAATCGTTGTCCTTATGAATTTGATCTCTTCCTTCCAAGGTTTTTTCACATTCCACAATTTCCCACACTTTCCCACTCCCTTTATTTGGATTGATTTATCTGCCCCTCTTCTTACTACAAACAGGATTTACTCCAATATTCCACGCTACCCTCACTTATCACTCCTCCCAAAGTGCTTGAATATCCAGATGTATTCCAGTTTCCCTTGAACTGTGTCCCAACGGCTCTCCATTATGTCCAATAAATAAGCAACTTAATTAGCGTACATGTGAATATATTGATGTCAAAATGGTGGCATTACCATATGCTGCTTCAGCCTTCAGCATGTCTATCTTTTTTGGAGGATTATTCTTTTGGTCAGAATACCCCAAAAATAACAACTGATCAATGAGATAAAAGCAAACAGATCACACAACATGTAAAATTATTTTATAATCCATGTAACAATCATGTATTTAAGAGCTTTGAGTAAGGGTTAGGATCAGGTAAGTATAAACATTTCTCTTTCATCTAGAACATAATCCGGCACAACATTTCTTCCTTAAATCCCTATGAATACATTACAAGTCCTAAATGGGCAGACACATGTTGCGATTTGTGTTGTATTGGAAATACAAGAGAAGTTACAAGGAAACTGTCCTAAGGGTTTACAGCGTGTCGGCATTTAAACATTGAAACAAGAACTGGATTTGGTGTTCCAAGATGGCACACATTAATTTAAAAGACATTTGAAGTTGGGCCGCTCAGACTTAGCTGGATTTCACATGCAAAGCCTGTATTATCTGTGGAAGTGAATGCATAAATCCCACTATTATTATTAAATTCAAAAGTATGATTCCATTTCCTGACTAATTTCTTCACTTTACAGATTACTTAATTAGGGCTATGGACTCTATTGAAACATTAATTAAATCAGTTAAAAGCTGCTTGAATAAAAATATATAGAAAACAACACGTTATAAAGATTTATACGATTAAAAATCATAAGATTAAAACTAAAACCAAGATATTAAAACACAGCAGCAGCAACAGTGTAAAAACACTATCATAGAATGTTACTTCTATCAATACACGGTTGGTAATCAAATAATAATACCTTTTATACCATTTCACCGCCAATACTGGTAAATTAAGCGACATTATATTTAGTGTAGGCACTAAAAATGCTTTGTAATATCCCTTTAATTCCAACAAACACACAGAAGATTAAGCCTCTGGGCTGCCATTGTTATTCATGATTTAGTCCCATCAGTGTTAAGAGCAATATGTTAATAAGTAATAACTACTGTGTGTGCTTGTTGAAAAAAACAGGGGTGAATGTCTTGTATTAATGTTACAATAAGTAACGCTATCCTCTATCGTCCAATCCACTAGCAGAAGACAGACAAACGTTAGCTGCTGTATCGTTATAGCTTATATTTCCTTGCACAAAAGGTGAGGAGGATTTGAATATTAGTTTGACCTAACATGCAAAAGCTACTTGAGTTAAAATGCTAATAAGAAGAAATGGATGGCTCACAAGTTATTTTATGAGGGACGCAACTTGTCTATTTGGGCAGTAGAAACCCACATGTTTTACTTACCTGCATGAGTATACAGTCTGACATTTTGAAAGAAGGATTGTTAATTAAAAAAATCATTTCTCGCCATTCACAGTTTGTCATTTTGTACTCAGTCTAGACAAGTGCATATGGCTGGGGGAAAAAAATGCTTCACAGATAATCTATTTCTTGGACTGTGGCTCAGTGGATAGTGTGATGGACTTCGAATCAGGGGGTAGCAAGTTTGAGTCCCACTGCAGTCAGCATGTCGTTGTGTCCCTGGGCAAGACACTTCACCCCAAATTGCTCCTGTGGGGATTGTCCACAGTACTGAATGTATGTAAGTCGCTTTGGATAAAAGCGCCTAACAAAATGACATGTAATGTGTAATGTCTATGATCTAGGAGTGGCATGCAACAGGGTGCCACATTGGCATCCGTAGAGCAGAATGTAGAGAAAAAATGACCAGCAGCTGACTAACACTACAACCCTAGTAACGTTTGAAAATGATCCAAGGGGATTCTTGAAGTCCATGAAGAACAAATCCACTGGAACACAGAAGAAGACTTGCTCTCTTCGGAGGCTCCTGTGTGCTTTCAGTACCATGTATGAGTACCATGTATTTAAAAGAACAGGAAATGTGGAATGTTGCAGCTGCTACAAATTCTGATGAAAGAAACACTTAAGGAGCACATGAAGCAGGAAAGTTCCTAGAAATTAGCCTGTGTCCATCCCTGAATCTGTCCATGAGTTCTTCCTTGATCTCATCTGCCAGCTTATGTATTATTTGATTGTTCAGCCTAACACTGTCATTATTGCTTATCTACGCTATGAAGCAAGAGTGCCTTGCTAAATCATGTTTTTTTTACCAAAATGTAAAAATGATATCACTTTATCAGATGAACAGTCGGGTAGGAACAACACAGACACATCAGTGTGGAACCACACTGAGACCAATGGGACGTGGTTATTTTAAATCCCAGCACTACTGTCTCAGACACAACAGGACAGAAAAGACAAAGACACAGACATCCATTGAGCAACATGTCATCCAGTCCAAGTTGCAGCACCCCTACGGATGTGTGTGTTACTCGTCAAACTGCCGTGTGTCTTGAATTCTCATTTTCATTCTTGGGAGACGGAGGAATGTTCCTGGTGAACTGGCTGAAGCTGGCGGCCCTGCACCTGGCCCTCGGCCCCCCTCCGTCTCCTGAGCCCTGTGTGGGTCCTGGGGGGAGAGTACTGTAACGGCCCAGGAGGGGCAGGACCTGGCCCGGGCTGAGGGGGTTGGTGCTCAGCTGGTGGGTGGCATCCTTGGAGAAGAGGCTCTGGATGAGCTGGAATTTCTCCTTTTCTTCCCGTAGGAAAACATCGACCAGGAGCTTCTTCTCCCGTTTGAACTGCTCCACGATAGTTTTGGGAACGTCAGGGATCCCCCAGGCCACTACGAGGCTGAGGAACATCACCAGATTCTGAAGGAAGGAGGAAGATTTAGGATCTCAAAAGGGTTTTCAACACAATATCTTTATAGTGTATGAAGCATGTGGATAGGACATTGTAGGTCAAGTTTAGGAACTACAGTTTGTATAATTTGCGTGTTAGGGAAGGATTAGGGGGGGTGTTAAATGTATCATCATCACATGGATTTGGTAAGGTACGCTGAAGGCTACATCTGGAGACATGTTTTTTAACCTGGCACCATATAAAGTAGGCTGAATAAGCGCTAAGTCTTTGCAATGTAGCTGTGAAAGTAAAGAGAAATATCACGTGATGATTCACAGGCAAGTTCTGCAGTTATGACGAGCAGTGTCATGTGATTTTATGCAAAAGGTGCTGGTTGACAAGCAAGCATTTGGATACAAATTGGCGAAATCGCCTGCTTCGTGTACCCCAACACAACACTGCTGCTGACCGTGTTGGCGAGCAGGGTTTTAAAGGTGTTTCCCCAAACTTTGTTCACGGCTGACACTTATCTGCAGCAGTATTGGAGGTAAACTCCCACAGCTTAGTTGTCGAAGGACATCTGGCATCCATATGTAAGTGAGGCGTGCCGGCGGACAGACGGATGTTTATCAAATGAGCTGCTTGCTGAATGACTGATGCATATGGTAACATTCCCCATCAGGATGAGAGCACTCTATGATCCACCTGGCCTTATACATTTATTTATATGCTTTTTTTATAGAACAAATCTGTTCCATTTTACTGCAGAAGTGTGTGTGCAGAGTAATAGGTGATCTAACATGTTTATGTGTCTTACTAATTATAACCTTCAAAAAGGTTGTCTGCTTGTCTGTCTGCAGCATTAGAGAAAAACTACTGGCCTGATTTTCAAGGGACTTGGTGGAAGGGTTAAGCTCGGGCCAAGGAATAATCCATTGGTTTAGGTGCAGATTCAAATATTATGATAAGGCATTTGTTTTGCATGCCTATGGTTTTGGAGTAGTGGAGAAAATGAAAATGATATTCCGTCTGGGATGATCCACGTGAACGCCCCTCCACTCTGGAACAGCTATCAACGTGATGTTTAAACGCTCAGAGAAGCAAGATCCAACACGTCTTCCTTGTAGCATCCATGTTGTTCTCACATAATGAATAAACGCTAATGAACACAATCATGTTGGAAGAACGAATTCGCAACTCTGGAAACGGCATCATCAGAGGAGCACCTGAATTAAGCAATGGTTTTGGTGGAGGTCTGCTTCGTCTGACTGATATTCGTCTTCCCATTTGTAATTAGTTTGCTATTCTCTTCATGTTGTTTCTGAGCACATACCTGGAACAATATGACAAAAGCCAGTCTTGCAGCCAGGACACACCAGTACTGTTTGGAGAAGGTGTACGCGTCTGGAGACCAGGGGGGTTCCCTGTAGTCTTTGTACCTGGGACAAAACACACACATGTATAGCATTCAGTTTAGAGTGGTTGACTGGGTAAAAATAAAGAACAAACGACCCATTTATAGTTATTGTACTAGTATAAACAGTAGCATTCTTAAAGGGGCCCTATAATGATCATTTTCAGGTTCCTATTTGTATCTTGTGCCTCTACTGTGACATGTTTACATGCTTTAATGTTTGAAAAGTGCTTTATTTCTAGTTCTACAGGACCTCTTTTTACCCTCTGTCTGAAACTAGAGCCCAGTCTGCTCTGCTAACAAATAGAAGCACGAGTGTCCAATGGAGGCGTTTCAGGCAGGGGGGGGAGTGTGGGAGAGAAACTTTTGAACTTTGGAAGTTTAGCCTTTTACGGATCATTTACATGCACAAAAACCTATATAACACAAAAGGCTTAAAATACGGAGAGTAAAGCCACAGAAAGACACTAAGTCAACAGATAAAACAAGCATGGCAGTTTGAATGACTTCACCCGCTTTCAACCTGTGAGTTAAACTCGATTTATCTTCACCTGAGACCTGTACCCTTTTTAAACATCCTACTCCTCCGACCCACTATGTAGCTCCCTTAGAAGGGCAATAAACTTTATCCAGATTATTTTCCTTTGTTTTCTTTGTAGTAAACATTCTTTGTTGTGCAGAAACAAAGAGCTAAAAAAAGTCGAACCATGTTGACGACATAGAAAGAAAGAAAGAAAGAAAGAAAGAGAATTAACAAGAAGGATAATAACAAGCGTGACAAAAGATAATCAAAAACAGACAAGAAGATGTGCTTGGTTAATAATACTGAAGACAAAACACACACACACACACAGACACGAGGTCCACATTTTAGTAGAGGCTTGAGGAGGTAAAGGATTGATCACAAATAAGAAAATAAAACAGTCTGGAGCCAGTCTTTGGGTTTGTCCAATTATTAAATTGGGTCATCCTATAGATACGATCACATGTTGGTGCTTTTTTGTCTCCAAAACCCCCCCCCCCCCCCGCCAGATTTCTCTTAACATCATTAAAAGTAAAATGTTCCTTTTGTCTGTGGCTGGCTGCTTTTATAGTGTGTCCCAAGCCAGCTGACTCCTGTGTGACTGTCATGGTGCTGAGGGACTTCCTGAGATCACACTGCTGGTTGGTGCAGGGCTGTCACTAACAGACTGTTAGAGGCCATTCAAACCAAAACATGGCGTTTTAATGTTGCCTGTGGCAGTCGGACAAACGGGCTGCAGTGCTGCTGCTCTGTGTGTTGCTGCAACTGGCCTGAGTAGAGACTAACACATCGGGAGAAAATAAAGAGCATGATGAAACTGCAAGGTAGGTCTACACGCAATTGGGAAAAAAACAATGCCATTTTTTCTTGCAATACATGTTTTGCATTTGTTTTTGGTCGATCTGACTTTATTTTGCCAATTTATTTCTACACAACTGTTTCAGCAAAGCTAAGATTATGCTTGTGGGTAACAGGAAGCAAAAGAGAGACTATCAACAAGACTATGGTGGAAAGACAGCAGCTTATGATTCGCATGGGTTCACATCACTGAGGACGTGACATGGAATTACACCAAAACAGCTCGACACTAGCTCTTCTTCCTCCGCAGGCTGAGGAACAAAGCTGACGTATTTCAATTGTTCGGCAGATTCAATACAGTGGGTTAAATCTTACTTATCAAACAGAAAACAGTGTGTTTTGGTCAACGGAGCCAAATCCCCCTACCTTGTGAACCCTGTTGGGGTTCCACAAGGTTCCATTCTTGGACCATTACTGTTTTCTCTGTATATTAATGACTTGCCTAATGTATGTCCTGATTTGAATGTACAAATGTATGCCGATGATGCGGTCATCTTTGTACACGGGAAAAATACTGAAATAATCACATCCTGTCTCTCAAATAATTTGGACAAGGTTCAACACTGGCTGAACAACATTTGCTTACAGTTAAATGCAAAAAAAACAGTATGCATGATGTTCAGTAAACGACCAGTCAAAATCGAAGGATCCAATGTGTTTTTAAACGGAGCAGAATTAGAACTAGTCCCCCACTTCAAGTATCTTGGAGTCATACTGGACTCGAACTTGACTTTTAAGAAACATATCAAGAAAGTATCCAATACCGTTAAATTCAACTTGCAGAATGTTAAACAAATTAGACCTTTCTTAACTGTCAATGCTGCAAAGTCATACCTCCACTGTATGATTCTATCCCACATTGAATACTGTTTTACAAACTGGTCGTTTGCTTGTGCCACAAACCTGAAACCAATAGAACAGCTGTACAAGAGAGCTATCCAGGTGTTTGACAGAAAGCCTTATTCATACCACCACTGTACCATCCTTGAAAAACACAATTTCTTGAGTTTTGACAATTTTAAGTCTTTTAAAAGTATGTGTTTTATTTATAAATGTTTACATGGACTGGCCCCCCCTCCCTTAGGAGAATTAATCCACAAAAAACACACTGGACGCTGCACTAGGTCAGAAACCAGAGGAGACTGTGAAGTCCACCGCAGACGGACCACTTTCTGTCAAAATGTTCTATCAATTAAGGGCAGCTCTTTGTGGAATAGCCTCCCAACTGAGTTACGGGATTGTCCCACTTTGAACAGTTTTAAAGGTCAACTAAAAGAATGGTTGAGAAACAAACAAACGTGCAATCACCGCTAAATGCACTTCAATACAGGGGCATCTCCTCTTGCACTTGATCTAGCCCTTTTATCTTCTCCTGCACTTTATATGTCGTAGCTGCTACATTGTACTGCCATGTGGTAAATGCTTGTATGCTGCTCATGCTCTTTCTGCATATCATGTATTTATTTTGCTATGTATATAAATGTCATGTTCTTAAATGTTGTATGTGAGGGACTACGGATGGAAACTAGCTCAAAGCTAAAATCCGGCATGTTTACGTTTTTAAAGCATTATTTGTTTTAAATGTTCATCAATGTGCACTGTCCCTCGTCAAATAAACGATTAAATGAAAATGAAAAAGGAGGTTCAACATGGACTCCAGGATACTCTGCAACTTCTACAGGTGCACCATAGAGAGCATCCTGACCTTCTACAGGTGGTAACCCTTTATGCTCTTTGTTTAAAATATAACTATTTGGAGGCAGTCAGTCATTTACATATGGAAAAATAAAAACACAACCGGTTTGAATCTAAATCATCCCTTCATCAAAGCAACAGTTGGCAGAGGTCGAGACAGTTCTGCTTCAAAATGAAGTGACGCGTTTTCAAATTGATGAAAAATAAAATAAAAACCGACTGTACTAGGCCACCTCACTTCCTTAAAACGTTTAACTGAGAGGCAAGAACTCTCAACTCAACAATCAAGGATGGCTCTTCAATCTGCCATGCTTCCAGAAATGATGGTCTGTTAAAAACGTTATTCATGCCATTACATTGAAATATTTCTTGAAGGCACGAGTGTGCAGTAAGGGTCAGGGGGTGATTCTGGAGTGCGAGGGGGGGATTGAGTCTTTATGTTACTTCTGGGCTCCATTTTCACAACAGCTCATTTAAAAGTCAGCCTTTCTCTGTGGGATGTCTCTCTCAACATATAACATTCCCATCAAGGCGATAGCAGCCCATTATTGTCCAGATAACATCTTTGAGCAGAAAAATGCATACTCCCAACCACTAAATGTACAGAAGACATCGTAGACATTCATAGACAAAGATCAGCCTCATGAGGAACTCAAGCTATATTTATAGCAGTCTTCATGGACAAAATCAATCAAAAGCATATAAGGGCCCCTTTAATAAAATATTTAAAATGTTCTAAATAATTCGAAAATTACAAATGTTGCTTTATTATTGTATTGAAGAGTTAATATTTGTCTTCCTACTTTTGATACAGTACATGCTCTGATGTACTCTATCAATACATGTCAATCAACTGTATTACATTGCAAAAACCCAATTAACAATGTTTCAAAAAAGAATTTGAAGCAGCAATGCAGGAAACGCGCATCACACTAAAAAATTGTAATGCGATGAATCAGATCAAAGTTTTAATCATTTAACCACCCCTCAAACACACCCACACACACGCGAACAAATTGCTGTGAAGCGATGATGAATGAATGAGTGTCTCACAGCACTTGAGCAGCAGTATAGAGGATGAAATGTGTGTGTGCATTGTGTGTGAGCGTGCGTGTGCAAGCAGGCTCTTATGGTGTCTGATTCCTTCTCCTTATACAGTCATGAGTGAGGAATGCTGCCCGTGAGACTCAGCTTTCTCTCCCGCTCTCTGATCTTTGATCTGTTCATCTTTCCCTCTGTTTTACAGTATTTCGTAGTAGTTCAACTTCCAACGTGAACTCAGCTGTGAGACCTCCCTCCTGTCACTCATTTAACTGAGCTGCCTGGGTGGAATCAAACATAAAATGGTATCAAAGAAATGCTTCTCCTCTTCCTCTACTCGCTCCATGTTTGGTTATAATGCGCAGCTCAATATTCTTTCATAATGAGATTATAGTTAGTGTGTGAGAGACTTGAAAACCTGTGTGTTCCCCCACATTGACACACACACAATCACACTGGTGGGAATAATACTCAGGTCCTTAAATTGAGTAAAACTAGAATCACTATGTTCTTAAAATTCCTCCAATACAAGTATACATTTTGAATTTAAACTGTTACTTTAGTAGAAGTACAGAGGTATTATCAGTAAAAAGTACTTTGTTTATCAAAAGTGAAAGTACTCTTTTACAGTGTTATAAAATGATATTATTCAATACATGTAGTTTGTCAAACTGGAGCCAATTTTAGTAACTTTAAATTACTGTCTATATTAAAAATGAAATCATGTGTTTTCATATGTACAAAGTAGCCAGTAACTTCGAGTGCTTAATACATGTAATGGAATAAAAAGCACAAAACTTGCCTCCAAAATGAAGTGGAGTAAAAGTACATGTTGCATTAAATGGAAATACTCAAGTAAAATATGTAAAAATAATACTTAAATTCAATACTTGAGTTTGTGTACTTTGTTACATTCCACTACTGCTAACTCCGGTCACACAGAAACAAAAGTATCTTTCGTTTCTTTCTTAATATGTGCTTTGTCTCCTTTCTGTTTTTCTTCTTGTTTCCCTGTCCCCGAGGAGAATAGTGACATCAGGCCTGGCATTCTGCTAACCTTTACCCAAACCACTTCCATCCCTCTTCAATTTATTACTTGGCAAAATACAGACATACAGAAACAAGAGAAGAACACATGTTCAATCCATCATGTACCAGATTGGTCTTTGACAGATTAAGGTCGCAGTCAAGTAACAAACTAATTTAAAGTGGACCTATCATGCTATATTTGAATAATATAGTGTAGGACCATACCTATATAAGGCATATTTATACTTTTTTTTTTTCAAAATACCAAACAGATCATGCATTTTAGCCATGCCTCATTTTGCTCAATTTGACATTTTTTAGCTCTGTTTTTGCAAGGGCTGATTCTGTGAGAACAGCACCATCTACAGGCCTGGCATATGTACTACAGCGTCTCCAGCGCTTTCGAACGGCAATGGCCGTGGCTGTCTCTTCCTGATTGGTGGAGTTGGCCCAATAGCCGTAGCGCCACTGTCCTGACGTCAGGACAGTGTTCAAATCTGGATCAGTTTTTATCAGATCCGTTGCAGCCCCTTTTTTAGAGATTTGGGTATGGAGGACAATAGAGAGGGTTGTGTTTTCTGACACTTGGTGAGTTCCCTGGAACACCGGGGACACATATTCATGTATAAAAGACGTACAAAAGTGCATTTTGCATGATAGGTCCCCTTTAATTTCAGAGTTCAAATTTGACAAAATTAAACTTACAATAGCCTTATGTTGGACTTCATAGTCAGGAGGGATCAATAAAGTAACCATAGCTGCTTTACTCTTAAATATGTGTGGTCTCCATGTGCAGTAAAACTGAATAAAACTGATTGGATACACAGTTTAGGACCATGAGGAATCTTGATCATCATGACATCTCAACTGCAGGAATGAAAGAGAGAAATTACGTTATAATCCATGACTTTATTCCTTGGCTATCACTTGACTTCCAGGTGATACAAGTTTAACTGCAGCCCACTTCCTGTCAGCTCAGGGACCAAGCACTGTCTTGATGTTAAGCAGGTGGAAGCTAAAGAGTGCTGCTTTCCCGATACTTGTATCATGTTTTCCTGGAACACATGAGAAGACATGATTGAATACTTCCTGTCCCTTGTTTTTATTGACCTTGAGTTTATGTTTTTGTCTTTGTTCTTTTTTTCCTGTGAATCACAGGCTAAGTACAATTTGATTGAAGGCTAACTGCCGTCAGATGTCAGGAGTACAGAGAGAAAATACAGGAAGGTCTCCCACATGACTGCCGGGACTAATAAACAATAGCAGGGGCAGGGACCTGGAACAACTATTTTTATTTTCCCTTTTATAGCACAGTGAGACCACTAAAATCAGTCCATATGCTGTGAGGAAAACAAGGTAAAACTCTTAAAAAGCAAGAACAATCCATGATGTTTTCTCTTTCCTTATGTCCTTTTAAAGAGTGAACAAGTGAGCTCAGCAAAGGAAAAGGGATAAAGTGTGTCCAGCTGTGTAGTGTTTTATTCAATAGACTAAATGTTTTTTGTTTTTTTAAAGGAGGTAGACAGCAGGGGATAACACACCAGGTGTTATATAACGGTTTATTCACATTTACACTTATTCAGTATCACGTTGCTAAAATACCAGAGGCTGCTGAGTCCTAGTTATTACTGTCATAGTGATGAAGTGTATCAGTAATATATCTAAGTAATTGTATAATTGATTTAGCTGTATTTCATTAGGCCTTTTAAGATAATTATTTTATGGAAATATTCTGAAACATCGCTGACATTTTATAGTTTACCCACATTTTTAAATAGCCATCATCTAGTGATGCTCTGCCCACTGACGCAGTAAAAATGCCTTTTACTTCCTCACATCCCCGTTTTTGAATGTAATTAAAGATTTAATACCTTTGTGGTTGGCCTCTGTCACACCATCCATCCGACTACAGTGCCTCTACTCATCCTTTCCTCTCTTATATATCTACATCTTTCCACTCTTGCTATCCCATCTTCCTTTTAATGAAAGCTTCTCTCTTCTCTCCATTTATTCATTCATCCAGGAGTTCCTTAAATGAACTGAGTCAAAAAGAAAAAAAGAGTTGTCTGTAGCATCTAAAATACTTTAAATTACATTAGTTCAGTCATTAGGCTTAATCAGCTAAATCACCATCTGCACACACACTATTGAGCCCTACACACACTGCAGACACTCACAGCCTTCTTTGAACATCCTCCAGCCGCATTCATGCCTATAGGCGTTCAACGGCATCCAGTATGTGGCCGTTCTTGGGCGTGACGTACCACACCACTTTGGCACAAAGACTGTATTCTTGCAATGTAATGATTAGCTGTCTTATGTAACAGCAGACGGACCTCAGTCTGTGGGCGCCGGCATCCATGACCTTTTCTTCCACGCCTTATATTGATGTTATGAAAGCGATGCTTGCCACTGGCATGAGTGAAAGATGGAGATGAGACAATAGTGCACTGTATTTCTAAATGTGAAAAATCATCACCCCGCCCCGTAAAACTCAGACTGATGCAGTTTATTAGCTAGATAAGGGAAAAGTCTGTTGGCCATCGACAATTTTATCACCTGTGGTCATTTAATTATGGTTCCTAAAAGTGTCCTATCACTGAAGAATACTCATAAAATGCATCATCTCGACTTTATTTACACCTCAATGAATATGATGCTCTATGCAGATGATATGTTATTGTACGTATTGAATGCTGATGGCTACATTTGCCGTAAACTCCCTTTAAGCGTCTTGGTATCTTACATCGAGATAGACTCCATGAACCCAGAAGGAAACAGAGACATCTTTCTGTCCGATTGAATGGATATTAGCCTTGAAATAAGCCTCTATATTAGCAGCTGTTGGTTGTTGATACTGAAGGGTTATTGATTTGTTAAGGTCTATGACAGATTGGTTTGATCCACTTACAAAATACCCCAAACTTAATTTCTCTGATAGATCTCTAAATATAGATGAATTGGCTTAACTGTTTCCTAGAACGTACAATTAGATCAATGGCAGCAAAAGGAAACAAATCCACATGTTTGTGTGTCTTTGTGTGTGTTTTTACCGGCAGACGGTGATGTCGGCTTGCTCTATGTTCTGCGGTGCCGTGCCGTGTTTAAAATTTGACACGTTGAAGTAGGAGAGCGTGTGGTCGATGAAGCCGTGCATGGTGCCGGTCTCACTGAACATGTACTGGTAAACCAGCCGAGGGATGAAGTCTGACGTGAAGGAGATCACAAAGGCCTGCAGAGAGAAAGATAAGGAAAAGATATATGACATAACACTTTACATCCAGCAAAACATGTGCATCTGCAGCAAGTGATTTTCAGTTATTTTCAGATGTTTTAAAGTCTAGTTCTCTTTACATTCTGAGATTAGGTCTGTAGAACTGTTACGACATACATACGGAATTCTGCTCCCGGTTTTCCATCGCCTTGAAGCTCTTGAGGCAGCTTAGGTTTTTGTATATGTGTCCAATGCCCTATAGCTCTAGAATAAATAAAAGGTCCAGCTGCTTGCTTCTCAAATCCTACAGAAATCTCTTTGGTATTAAAAGTAAACTGAATAGGATTTAGCTCGCTAGCCAAAGACAAATCTCTAGCAGGACTTTCCTGAGTGCACAAACATGTTGACAAGGTCAAGAAGAAGAAGAATATTTCAGAGCAAACAAGCGTTTAATCTCTTATTTAATATCTACTGCTATCATAGTCAGCCATGGATAATTTAGTGTTAGCAAGTATGTACAATGCTCACACGCAGCAAACCTGAAGAAAGCCGGATAACGAGTCGAAATATATTCCTGCAGAGAAGTCTGAGGTCGGTGGCACGGCACTGTTGTGTTATGCAATCTTTGTTTACCAATGAGTGTGATGCCTGAGAGTAAACTGAGCTTTCTTCCATTAATACTGAATAAAGGCACTTCAGTATTATGTAATGGCATTGAAATGTAGACATATTTTTCTTTTACGAAGAAAATGTTAAATATACCAAAGCCAATGTTGTGGAAGCTACTTAAAAGCTCTTCAAAATCCAGTTTGGTTAACTAAAGCAACTTAGAAAAAGTACAACAAAGTTAATCTAAAAAAGTCTAGATCATTTGAAATCATTTACAGGTTGTACATTTACTTGAAATATTAAAACTCACTTATTTGTACTTATAAAAGAAAGTTTTTTTTTATTATTGAAAGTACTTCTCAGGAACATTTTGCCTAGTCATGGTATAACAATCGTAGCTAACCATAACTCAATGAGACACAGAATAATTTATTCCACAGAATACATTAATGCTGAGTAACCCCCCTCATGACTATAACTGGCTTTGTGATGTAAAGTTAATCCTTGGACTTCCACCTAAATCTGACGTGGTGACTCAATTTAAACTGCACAGAGAGGCTGCTAGAGAGCGGCCTTATGGGGGACCATAAACAGTCACATTATGAACCTGCGTTGATGCATTTCCTGTAGATATATATCTGTCTGCATCACTAATTCAACGAGCAGATATAGAATGCATTACATTGCATTAATACTTACATTTATAATGACTGAGAATTTTCCCATTCCACTCAGTATGTTGTACCATATGCCTATAGAATAAAAATAAATAAAAGAGAGAGACAGAGAGAGAGGTTCGAGAGATAAGAAGTAGAAGCGGTAAAACACACAGATCTGTATAAGTGCAGTTGCAACATGGGTTTCTGAAAGCAATCCAATCAAACTTAATTTAGTTTAAAAGTTTCGTTTTTTTTTTAAAGTTTAGTTTTCAAACTCTACATGAAGCATGCACTTAATATTTCACTTCCTGTTTACATAACTAATATCATTCTCCAGTGTATCTGTTCATTAGATTGCTGTTAGTTTAAATCAATTGCTGCCTCCATTATATATCTTAAAATACATTGTGATTAAGACAGCTTTGTTCAGTGCATAGAACGTCATTCGATGGTGTTTTATTGGCACACGTTTCTGCAGATCTCTTTTTAGGGTAAGTGTCCACAGCAAACTAGTTGTAATGCTAACATGCTAAAATGCCAGCTGATGTTAAGCAGGTATATGTTTACCTTGTTCACCGCATTGTTCTTACCGCATTAGAAAGCTCATATTTTCATATTAGCACTCAACACACAGTACAGATGAGGTGGATGGGAATGTTATTAGTTCTGCAGACTTCTAAAATGCAAGGAATTTCACTACAACTGGACAAATAAAACAATTGGGCTGGAGATTAGATCAGCTGTCAGTATCTGCAGAAGCATATGTACTCTATCTCTATGTGAACTCTATATATGAGGGAGACTTACAGTATTTATGAGAAGGTTACATGTGTCACAGCACTCACCGATGTCTTTAGCACGTACGGCAACCGGCCTGCGTAGCTCCGTAACAAATTTCTTGGCATCCAGTCGGATCTCGATGACGTTGTTCAGTAGAGCAAAGAGCGGAGCGAGAGGGAACGAAGCCACGAACAGAGAGACGAAACCAAACTGGATGACTGGAGAAAAGAGAGACACAGTCATCAAACATGTTATAAACATCCACTGATGAGGTCATTTTAGGTATTTAGTCCGAGTGGATGTACAATAAGCCTGTCATATACAGTATACAAGTTTTATATTTAACAAGGTGTGGTGCCAGCATTGGTTTAGGGGAATTTAAAGGTCCCCTATTATACTGTTTTTCATCAATATATTATAGGTCTCAGATATATAGGGGGTGGTGCGCTAGTGAGCACGCTCATGAACTGTTCGCCAGAGCCTCGCAGCGGGGTTACTGTGCAGAGCGCATAAAGCAGACCCTTCACGCGATAGCGAGGGGTAGAGCGAGGGATCGCAGATGCCGTCGTGCTTGCGGACGGATAAAAAAAATCGACCTAAATGGCTCGCGAATTATACTTTGGCGGCCGTTAATATAGCCTACCTGGTCGGCCCGCCCAAGTAAAGTCTATGTGGGAAACCCTGCTATCTTACCAGTTCTTATGCAACTCGCAAATATCTCTCTCGCAAATTAATGAGTGTTGAGGAACACATTGTGGATACAAACTCAAATAAGAGGAAATATTTTCTTATGTTGCGTCCCGCAAAAGGCCCATTGTTTCTCATCATCCCATAGCTGCTGGAGTCCTCATAGACACTAGCGCCACATTACTCATAGAAAATTCCATTGCTAGAATTGACATCTCTTTATGATGGACATAAAGATAACGAATGATATATTTTGTACCGCAGGGCACAGATTTAATAAAGACTTCATTCATGTGTTTGACTGCAGTTTAATGCAGACAAAAATCTGATGCGTGTGAGGTTCACATCATAGTATCATGGATGTCTACTTCTGCAAACATTACAAAATGTTTCCTTATCTGCCAAACTGCCTCGCAGCAGAATTCGTAGACAGCGGCAGTGTTTGTTTCTTAAATGACTCTTTGTCCATTTTTATCTAAAAGCACATATCAGTGAGGCTATTTTGAGTAAGGCCATCTGAAAAGGGTCCTCAGTAGTCGCAGAGATTGTTAAAAGAGAAGTTGTTCAAGGGGGAAATCCATTTTATTCCCGCAACACGGTCCAGTAAAGCGTCTACCACTACCTCAAAATGAGAGTTCACATTAAACTCCAGTGGTGTCCACATCAGATGGGAGAGTTTTGAATAACGTGATGATATTGAATTATATAATCCAGTATTATGATATTTGTTGTAACATCCTGTCTGCTGTTAAAATAGAAATAAGAGATCATAGCGTGGGAGAATTGGAGGATAATGAAAAAAGTGTTTAGAGTACGTATAGAAATAAGAGGTGGCAGTTATCATATGATAAAAAATATGTTACAATCAACTGCTTGAGGTGTATTTTCTTTGCTTAACACAGGCTGCAGTTATTTCACCAACAAAACAATCATAATGTGCTGACGGCAGTAATATGAGTCAGGTGAAACTCATGTGAACACTGAGCTCTAATTCAATTGATAGGACTATGTTCACAGACTGAATACGCTTAATTGCATTAAGACACATATTTGAAAATGTCAGTTTACGGCACACATACTATACAGTACAAATTAGTGTGGCTGAAAATGTTTTGTTTTTTCCCAATAGATATGAAATGCAGTATGCTGAAAGTACCAGGATGTACTATTTTGTCCATTCATAATGTGCAATGCGAGTAAGCAACGGATGTATAAAGAGAACTGGATACAGTGTTGGAGGCGCTCATTCCTGTATAAGGTGCTCAGTGGCACATGGAGCCAAAATGGCCGGATGGGTGCCAAATCCACAGCAATAACACCAGCTCTGTCAGATTTAGAAGCATTCCTTTAATTGTATACACCGTGAATCCAGAGTAAAATGCTATTGTTTGCTTTAATAAAAAGAAAATGTATTTTATTTGATACGTAGCCAAGAAATGCAATGTGGCACACTGCAATGCATGTCTTTATGCTGTGGTACGTGGAAAATAACAAAGTGAGAAGAGCTGCTAAATTACCAATGCTATGTACTGTAGGAGATGACTTACTTCCTGTGTTTCTTCAAGCAACACTACTGTTCAAGCTTCCTCTTGAAAAAAAAAGCCATTACTGCTATTCTTTAGCATAACAGAGGCTAACGTGAGAATTAAATCTATTGAAAGCGCCACTAAGACGCTGTCAGACTGACGGTCGTAAGCGGTGGTCCGTCTGTCCAGAGTCAGACTGTGTCCAGACTCGCTCAGTGCTTCAGATGATGCCTTTTAAGGCCCTCCACCGCACCAGCTAAACTGGGACTTTTTATGATTCAGCAGTGTGTGGAACTTCGTGTATGTGTTATGTAAGACAGTCTGATTAGATAACCTAGAGACACAACATCCTTGACTATTTATTAAAGCTAAAGCTGATTTGATTGTACATTACATCACAGGCATTCCGACAAACCCTGGATATTAGCTCTGTGGGCTGTTTGCAGCAGCTACCTCGCTTACTACCGCCAAATGAAATAGTAGTTCAATAACAACGAAAGCAGTGCCTTAAAGGACTTGTCCGGGCTTCCAGCTTCCCTACGGCCACAGAGAGGCCGTCAGAGGTCATCTGCAGAGAGGCAGCTCTGAGAAGATTCAGTCAGAGGCCCAGAGATCAAGATGGCTGATCAGAGATGGAAGACACTACAGGTCCTAAGGGTCAAAGTTTAAAGGTCCCCTATTATACTGTTTTTCATCAATATATTATAGGTCTCAGATACATACAAAACCTGTTTCTGAAGTGTTTCGCTAAAACACCAAACAGATCATGCATTGTAGCATCCCATAATCCCCTGTTTCAAAAGGGCTGATTCTGTGTCTGTTACTTTAGATGAAAATAAGGAGCCACTCCCCACGCCCCTCTGAGAGATATTTGGTTAAAAAGAACACAATGGTGCTCTAGGAGGAGATTCAGGTGATAAGGTGGGTGGGGGGGGTTACCTTGGTTGGTGATTGGCTAATGGTTACACAAGCCAGAAAATCGTTATGACATCATAAAGTGTCCAAAATCTGATCAGCTCATTTTCAGACACGTTTTTATATAAATGGATCAGGACAAAAAGAGAGAGAATCTTTTTTTCCTGAAACTTTCAGAATCTCTTTACACAGAGGGGACACATGGTGATGTATACAAGACATGAAAAAGTGGATTTTGCATGGCTTTTAATATCACCATTAAACCTCCCCAGTTGATTACCTACACTAGGCACATTTCGTTGTCTTGTTCAATTCCATTCCAGGCATTATGCAATATAAACTGTTGGTGAATTTAGGGCAAAAATACATACACACATACAAAGTGAATAAAATACCTAAAGGTAGATTACGGATGTTTTCCTTCCACTTTTCTGCAAGAATACTTAAAGATAAGCTTTATCACATCATAAACTTTCAACAAATGATCGCACAACATCCACCTGCTTCCTAAGAATGTGGAGAGGAAACTTGAGAAAGACAAGGCAGTTTGCCTGACTTGGGCTAATGTACACCCTGAATCAGTGGAACTTTAGCAGTGTGGGAACGGGGGTTTCCAGCGAGCCCGAGACTGACGGCTTCACCTCAGGACGCCATGCGGAGACAAAGAGCGGCGAGGAAGAAAATACGACAGCGGAGCGGCGGGCGCTAGAGGGCAAGCTTAGAATAACCTCGCTATGTACCTGAGCCGAGGTTGGCGGGTTCGAGGCACACACACACACACATTCTCACAGATACATGCCTAAATGCAACACACAGTTAGAGGAAAGGAAAGGACACAGACTAATAATAAAGGAGTAAAGCATCTAGCAGCTCTGTGTGAGTGTGTATTTGCATGTTGAGCTCAGGCATTTCTTACATTCCTCGCTGTGCCCTGCAGTCACATTGGCTCGCTTTTCTTTGCTGTTTCTCTCTCTCTCTCTGTCCTCACTCAATATCTCATGAAATCTCCACGTTATCAGATCACAACAATATCAAAGGTAAAAACAACACTAACCTCTGTAGACTTTTCTAAACTTGGGAGGAAGCTAACTGAAGTGAATATGAAGATTATTCCAGTCTTTTGCCCCTATAGTGCAGATATTTCTACAGCAATGAGTCTGTAGATTTTCCTGAAGCCTATACGTATAGGAGAACATTTTCGAAGCAGAACATATCAAATGTACTCAATAATAACTTCAATTGATATTAAACAATTTTTTTTTACAGCTTTGATCTCAGTTTTACTGCCATACAATCCTTCACATACAGATGTTGCCAGTTTTCTAAAGGCAGGCTTGTAGCTGCATGTTGGCAGAACAGCTGCGGCACTTTGACTCCATTGAGCTGCAGAAATGCTCAGAAATATCTAGCCGTGTGGTCATGCCACAATCTGTCATCCATACATTTATCTTTTAAGCACATTATAGACATCATCAGTTTCATAACTCTTTTGTTACACCTGTGTGGATGCATAGACACAGATGAGCAGCATCTTCATTTAAATGCTGAAGAACAAACAGAAATCCACGTAATAGTAGAAATAATCTATGCTAATTTACAGTGTGCGAAATACCCATCAATAATCGGGGGGGGTCCCCATCTCCCGTTTATTGCACAATATACCGGTCGAAGATTTCTCAATATGCAGTAGGCCTATACAATATGTCATGGATGCAAGCCAAGACAATCAGTAGTCTATAGCAGCGTTACTCAACCCGGGGAGCCGTCTGGCGTCTTCAGGGGTGCCGTCAAATAAATCTATATTCTGACGTTCATATGAATGAATGAATACGCGACCGTTAAAGAGCCGTCTGTTTTCGATTATATGCGAGGAAATGCTTTTGCCAGCCAAAATAGAAGATATTTGTGAATAAATGTTTTGAGTTATGAATACTGGACATACAGTAGTAAGCTTAAAAACATTTGAATGACCATTGCAAGTGACAAATAAATATTATAATTTGAGACCCCCCTCAAATGTTGCTGTTGAGGCTTTTCAGGCAGGGGGGGGGGGAAACTGTTTGGGATGCTTTTGCAGACCCTTTACATGCACCGAAACCTATATAGCACTCGACAGTAAAGGGGAAAGCCCAAAAAGGACAACAGGGCTGCTTCAACACTGATTGCTAAGCAGTGTTGCTTTCTTATGACCGCAGTCAGGCATACTGTGTGTGGAACTCACTCATCTCCATGTACTCTGGCGTGAGGCCTTCAAAGGGAGCGAGGGCGTAGTCCAGGTTCCACTGCTGAGGAGGCCTCTCCTCCTCCATCTTCTTCTCCGCCGATCCTTTATCCTTTATCGCACGCACCAACTTCTTCAACTTCCTGTCAGGACAAGACACAGATATAGGGGGAGGAGAGGACAAGTACAAATATAAAGATACAGTAGATACATCAAATATAAACTGTGAACTGTGACATGTATCTTCTTTTGATTGCCTTCCTGATTTCAAACAGCCACTTTGTTGCATTGCTGTCTGCCAAAATGTATTTTTGACAATATTACTTTAAGAGAAGTTAATTCCTATTGTATAGCAGTCTTGCTGAGTCTAATTTGTTTAAGGTAGGACTGGACTGATTGTCCTTTATTTTACATTTAAGTTTCTACTGAGGTTTTATGCACAATTTGAATTAAGTTATTGATCAGATTAAAAAATATCCACTTTCTTTACGTATTTTAATAATAAGGCGGACAACAGTCATACCTGGGAGGTTGTGGGGTCCTCTTACTTTTTTTTAATGGACACATTAAAATCTCTTGCATGCTTAGACAAGAGCATTTAAGGTTAAGTGCATAACATTAAACCTTTGAAAACCTCAAATGCACTACCTCGTAAAACAGGCCCACTTTTACAGACTGTGGTTTTACTGGGGGGCCGCAGGTGTGAGAGATTTTAAGAAGATGCATGTGTGGAACAGATGTTACATAGATGATATCATGGTATGTGCTGTCATTAAGAAAGCAGAGTCAGGAGGTCAGGTGGAGCTGACAGCAACAGTAACAGATCAGCCTGATGTCAAAAGGAATCTCTGTGGTGATAGTTGTTGTAAACAGAGCCGACCTCTGACCTTTGGGATTTGCATGTTAAAACTGAGATGAGAGATGAGAGATGAGAAAGTAGCCCTGTACAGGCTTTGGAGGAATGTTATTAAGGCGAGAAAGGGAAACATGTGTGTATGTGAGTCACTGACACATCATAAAAAATACCACACTGTGTTCTTTGCTCTTCTTTCCCATGCCTACAGATGAGTAGTGAGCACACAGATGCGGCTTTCACACCAGCGCTTTTCCCTTTCTAGCTCCTAGCTACAGCTTTTCTAGTTCAGCTCCGGTTTCCCTTTTCAGCTCCCGCTCTGTTCACACCGCCCAGAGCTGCCGCTGCTGCGTCATGACGTCACAGTTTACGTCGCTGATTTTCTCCCACAACAACAACGGGTCGATGATCGTGTTGCTTTTAATCATACAAAGCCAGATTAAATTAAATAACGACTTCTCCAACCTTATACTTTTCTCCAGAGTGCCGTGGTTCATTGTTTATTAATGTGTTTCAGCGGCATTTACCGACCGCTGCAGTGCTGGCTGCTCTTCCACGGGAGTTTATTTTCCCGTTAGCTCCGGGTTAGCTCACACGGCTCTAAAGTATTCACTGTCTGACTGTCACACAAGCAGCTGATACATATCCCCAGTTCCCTTTAAGTGAATGTGTGTCAGTCTGAATTGACGCTGTTTGGCATCACAAAGCTGTTATGAAAGTTTCTCTGGTATAACATGGGTGATGTTAGCATAGCAACCGAAGCTAAACTGACTACTTGCTAAGCCGTTTTCTACAGGCACATTTTACCGGCATGTTTTTCATTATGATTCTACTTGTGATAGTCGGACATGACAACCTGTACAGCCCATGTATTAATTCCATCCGATAGCTGCTATAATAACAGCTCGAGCTGGAAAAGCGCCGGTGTGAAAGGGGCAAGAGAGGTGTGTGTACAGCTTACTTACGGGATGCCAATCTCAAAGATGTTGTTCTGGATGAGCTGCTTCCCCAGCATGATGATGCTGAGCTGGATGCACAGCTCGATGAGGCAGCCTCCAGGTGCACACTGTAGGGACACACACACTGATCCATGAGCTTGTTATGTGTTAGGCCAGAGAAGAACAAATATATAAAGTGGGATAACAAACCTCTTCCATCCGATAATCATTGAAGACGTACACGTAATTTCCGGGACGACCAGCAAACCTGCGAGTAAACACCCACACACGCACAACAAAGATTGAGAAGCTTCAATTAGTCATGTGAAAGAAGCACATGAGACGCTTTTGGAGGAATACATGTTTTTCAAAGGTAAGTGATTCACACGCTCATGCAGGACGTACCGCCCCTTGAAGAAAGCCACGTAGAAGATGGGTGCGTATGCGTTCATGAATTTCAGCAAGAAGGCCTTCAGGATGAGACGCTCCTCAAAGTGGGTTTCTGTTTTGGGAATCTCTGAAAACAGGAGAAGTGAAAGAGATTTGGTATGATCTGGTTTGGAAAGGACAGTTAGGGGGCTGGAGGGAATGTTTAAGGAGAAACGAACACAATTTGTTTTTAAGTACATAGATGTTAAATGATTTCTACAGTATGGTTTTAGGTCCAGGAAAATACCAACAGAGCATTAAGTGTGTGTCAGTTTGAGTCATAACATAATCACTGTGCTGGAAGTAGGTTAAAGTACCACACACACACCACACACACACACACACACACCCACACACACACACACACACACACACACACACACACACACACACACACACCACACACACACACAACACACACACACACACACTTCTTCCCATTCTTGTCCTCTACTTTAGAGGTTCTGAATATGGATGTAGATGTAGACATGATTATAACCTCCTGGGAAGACTGATGGGATGACTGAAGCATGCAAACATAAAAGTTTAATTAAACTGTCCTCCACACACACACACACACACACACACACACACACACACACACACACACACACACACACACACACACACACACACACACGAGTATGACTATGAATATTATCACATGTACATCTGCTGACTGTTACAATGATGCTTGAGCCATCTCTACATTTGAAACACGTTATCATGTATACTGTATGATTATGTTAACCTCTGAGTCCCATTAGTATCCAGTAAAAATAGGAAACAGGCTAAATGTAGTGGAAATATAATTGATTTTAGTAAGATATGTTCTAAAAGTATTTTTTTAAAGATGGCATATTCCTAAAGATGAAAAAAGTTAGGTATACTCTCTCATAATAACAGCAGCCTTTCTTTACCCTACATGGAAATACCTTGATAATCTGATAGTGACATTTCATCTTAGCATTGTTTGATCTTGGTTAGTTTGTGTTTTCAGGAGGTAAACCGCATTGGGCAGGATGTGTATCCGTACCCAGCTCAGTCAGCCACAGGGCCACAGCGCCGTAGATCTCATCCAGGATCAGAATGACCACCAGGTTGATGATGACCGCGGTGGCCGTCACCGTCACCCGAACATTGGACTTGGTCTCCGGGTCGGGGCTCATCGCCATCAGGGCCGACACCGTGATGCGGTAGACGATGACGCCGAAAACTGCTGAAAACGTCAAGCCGAACTGGAGCAAAGAAAGAAAATAAATAAGTCATTACTGGACCGTATTTATCTGATACTGACAGTGCAGAGCCTGGAATTAATATTTCAGAAACACATACAAGTAGGTCAGTCATTAATGTACAGTAACATGTCATATACTGTATGTTTATTTTTCTATTTAAAGTGCTTTCGTCCATGTACAGTCAGAAAAGGATGATCCTGTGTTGAGCAATAACCTGATTCTATGTTCTTACCATAAAGAGGATAGAGGAAACGTTGATGAAGTATCCAGGAAGACGGTCTTTCAATGTCAGCTTCTCAATGGCAGCCTGACAGGAAGCACAGCAGAAACAGGGGATGTTATCCAACACTTTTATAAAGGCCAAATCTGTGATGTCGCTCACTGACAAATCATAAAAGAGAAGAAAAGTCTACAGTGTTTATCCATTGACTGAATGGTGAGTTAATAAGCGTGTATCTCAGTTCCTCCATAGGCATTTCCCATGTTTTCAACAAAGACACACAGGAGCACAATGGACCTTCTCACAGTCTCCATGGAACACATGATTTCATTTCCAGGCACGAATATGGGAATTTCTGTTCAAAAGTTGTCACTGTACACAAGCGTTGATTAATACAGTCATATTTAGTGAGTATAAACAAGAAGTCAATGAAAGCAGCAGGCCTAAGTGATGTATTTTGCAGTCATTCTGCTGTGTCTAGACCTATAAGGTGATCCACACACACACACACACACACGATGCTTAAAGTCTGGACATCTTCCCAAAAGGTAATGACAAGGCAAGACAACAGCCCCATCTTGTGGAAACAGTGGCACAGTGCAGCCTACTCCAGGTCAAATATCAATATATTCCAGCATGTGCAAACCCAAAACACATGAGGAATGTTCAGATCATAACCACTTCTCCTCAGTTCACCTCGACTCTGCATCTGTCCTCAACATCTGTTACGATTTTGAATAAAATAACCAATTTAACTGAACCTGTAAATGGCAGTAGTAAATCTCTACAAACTTTATATAAAAATGTCTTGCCAGAAGGAATTGCAGAGTTCCAGAACAGCTTATTAATCTTGCTGTAACATCTCTTTAACAGTTTCCATGTGCTGATGAAACATGATGTTCCAAATCGTGCTGAGATGATACATGAATCCTACTCTGACAAGGCTCCTTAATAAATATAAATATACACAACAAACACTTTTCTATTCATTCTGTTCATGAAAGATTACTCATTTTAGGTAACACACCTTTTCTATACATATGGTTAGGGTTAATAAACCTAAGAGTTGGAACTATTGGAGGACACAAAAACCTTGATAATTTGTGTGTAGTAGTAGTAAATGGGTCAGGTGTTATATTTGGCATGTTACATCCGTTGAGGAAAGCCCTGCTCAACTCATGTCTTTATTCTGTAGGTCAGTCTGCTCGTCCTCCCCTTCCCTCTCTTTCTCTACTTGTGTCCAGACCCTGCTTGTCTCATAGTACACACACTTATCACAACTTGTTGATCAAATTAACTGGAATCATTTGAAGTATGGGCAGCTTAAATAGTATCTGCATGCCCATTATTGATGTGCTAGATCTGGGTTCAATACGAGATCTAACTTTTCTATGGATGTCAGTTTTTGAGCCTCAATAGACGAGGTGAGGCTTGTTTTTAACCTTTGCTCAAATCAAAGACGTATATAACGGGAGGGAAACCCCACAACCAGGAGAGAACAACACATATCAGATAATTATGTGTCTTGGTGGCAATAAATGAAAGGAAATCCAGTCCTATTGCTAAAGTCTTGATCCTACAGCTCACACAATGTCCCAGGTAACACATCAGAAGTGTGTGTAAGAGAGAATTTCTGTCGCCATAGTGACGTTCTCTAATATTACCGCTGGCTTCCTGCCCAGCATTCATCACTCCCACTCATTCCTTTCTCCTTCTCCCAGTCTCTCTCTCTCTCTTTGTTTCTGTCTCTGTCGTGCTCTTTGTCTCTTTTCATGTCTTAAACGCTGTAAAAGCTCAACAGAGAATAGGCTCGAGGTGCATGACATTATATAGACATTTTCCAAAGCAAACAAATTGACTTGTTATTGCAGGTTGTAATGACATAATTGAATGACGAGTATTTCATTTAGGTGTACATAAAGATGGTATTAATGTGATAAGTTACAAATGTTTGAGGAGTGAAGAAACCTGACTCATAATTTCTGTAAATGACTTATTTGAATTAAATATTTAACAGCATCTCCAAGAGAAATTGTTATTTTTAAAAGTTCAATAGTTTCCCAAAACTAGGCACTGCTTTAGTAAGTACACATAGATAAGTTTCCTCCATAAATGAGACATGCATCACAGAAAATACTGTCACAAAATTATACATTTTTGAAGACCTAAGCGAAATTAAAAAATAAAACTATTCATTTTATGGATGTCATTTCCACCTCACACACTAGAGAAACTCCTTCAGTCAACTTCGACTATGAAAAACAGGTCTGTAATGCTTTAAATCCCACAAAGACACTTCACATATGAATTGACTGTGACCATCAGATATCTGGATTAACATCCAAAGAAATACCTGAGGAGTTGAGACAGTAGAAGCCAGAAGATGGGACAGGAAGAGAAGGACAGATTGGCAGCGGCCTGCAGGCGGAAAACAGAGGAGAGGACAGGGAAAAGGTTGGAGAAGAGGAAGAGGACGACGAAGGAAGGAGGAAGAGGAAGGCGAGGCAGGGGGGAGAGGAGAGGAGAGGAGGGGTTACCGGTATTCCTGCAGCCATGGCAGACAGTAGTTTCTGTCTCCATCTGTCCTTCCCTGTAACTGCCCCATCCTCCTGCTTCTCTGGCTGCAAGACAGAGGGACAGGTTTCACACACACACACACACACACACACACACACACACACACACACACACACACACACACACACACACACACACACACACACACACACACACACACACACACACACACACACACACACACACACACACACACACACACACACACACACACACACACACACACACACACACACACACACACACACACACACACACACACACATTATGCAGAAACATGCAAATACAGTTCCACATGTCAGTCCTCTGTGTTGACCCTCCCATGTCTTTGCAGCTACAGACAATAGACAGGGTTCATACACTTTTTCACCAATGATTTTCAATGACTTCTCCATGACCTTTACCTCATTTTCCATGACCAAAAAAATTACTCTTTCTCAGCGGTACCACTGAAAATGGTGTATTTTAACATGGAACAGGAAAATAAGGTCTGCATATGAAACATGTTGTGCCTATCTAAAACAAATCAAATAGTAGGCTTACTAGCTTCTACAGGCTAAAGCAACTCAAATCTCTCACCAGCAAAATACCTCGTCAGTTAAATGCCATTTTATGTTTCATTACTATACGATACAGTATTTATTATCATTATAGTATTACTATTTCAGCGATTAGCTCAAATATAAATTATATTTGATGCAACTTTAGTTAAATTTCCATGACTTTTCCAAAACTTTGGGAAAAATATTGTTTTCCATAACCTTTCCAGGGCCTGGAATTTGCATTTTGAATTTCCATGACTTTTCCAGGTTTTTAATGACCGTATGAACCTTGAATAGACTATAAACAAATGTATGATCACTATCACTAAAGTCAAAGGCTGCATCAGGAGCTAAAGACTGGGCCTCAAACTCTGATTGGAGGTAACCTTGCTGTAAAAAATGTAAAAAGCAATAAAACATTAAAAAAACAACACCAAAATACTGTCTTTTCCCAGACAATAAAAGAACCAACGCACAGTCAAATCACTTCGCATCACCACCACTAGAGGTGGATAATGTCCGGCGTGATGACGTTAATTATTCTCAATTAGACACTTGTAAGCAACCACCGTTCTTAATGACTTAACTAAACTTTAGAATCTCTTCAGCTTCTTATTTCAGGCTTCTATGCAAAACCACATTCAAAAAACCCATTGACTCTGGGATTAAGGAACCTGAGGTGCTTTCACACCGGAGTACTTTTCCCGTACTTTTCCCAGAAATAGTTCCGATAGTTCCTGGGATGTTGCGTTCACACCAAAAATATATTTTTATTCGGGAACCTTTTCACCCCTTTTTAGTCCCTGCTAGAGAGCAGGGACTTTCCTGGGGAGAAAAAGGTTTCTGATTGGCTGGGCGAATTGCAAACCACGCCCCGTAAAACTCTGAAAAGTTTTTGTGACGCCGCCATTTTATTTCCTCGCATTAGCATTATTAGCATTAGCATTAGCCCAGCGCACCAACGGAGAGAGACTAACTAATGGCAACACAAAATAAAACGTGGGATCGGTGGAATGATGAGGAGGCGCTTCTGGCGATTTACCCGGGGCTTCGGGTGGCAGTATACGCCGTGAAGTTGTTTGCGGCCCCAAAGCAGAAGAAGAACGCGATTTACTAGATAGTTCCGGGGAAATAAAAGTTCCGGGGAAAAGTTCCGGGAACTATTCCTGGGAAAAGTACTCGGTGTGAAAGCGCCTTTGAAGACTCATTCCTGCACCACTCTATGCTGACTGTAACCATGAGGCATGATCGCGAAGTGGGGCATATAGTTTACAATAAAATACCTTTCCCTTGGTTTTGTTGGCAGTCAGTCCCAGCTACAAAAACGGAATGTATACATTGTTCATATTCAATTATGCATTCAGTCGTGAGTTAGGGAGTCAGGCTTTGTGGAAATGTGGTCCCAAGGGTTGTTATCTTTCCTACCTCGTTCTTTTTCTTCTTCTTTTTCTTCTTAACTTTTTTCTCCTTTCTCTGTTTCTTCTGAAGGAGAATAGTTTCGTATCTTGGCCTGGGATGTTCCTGAGAAGAACAAGGAGGAAGATTCAAATAGGAGTTGTGTAGGAGGGATGTCTTAATGATTATCTGTTTTGCCACAACGAGGTTATGTTACTTCACAGTTACAGTACCATAAGAACTGTAAAAGCTGCTTTATATATGGTGTCCATGTGACTTTGTGTGTGTGTGTGTGTGTGTGTGTGTGTGTGTGTGTGTGTGTGTGTGTGTGTGTGTGTGTGTGTGTGTGTGTGTGTTTTATATACCTCGTCATCCTCGATGCCTGTCAGATCCCAACTGAAGCTCAAACTGATCTGTCGGCGCTTCCAGTGCTCCAAGAACAGCACCGCTACACACACAAACACACACACACATATAAGTTTCATAATTTCTTCTATAAATGTATTTCGGCACATGAACAGGTAAGGTTTGGAACTACATCCTCAAGTATGAGGGGCCGTACAGGCCGTAGTTCATACTGGTCCTCTAACGCACATACATTCTCATTTTACATACATATATTTTCACTCTTACACACATACATTCTCATTTTACATACATACATTTTCATTCTCACATATTTATACATTTTTCACTCACATACATTTTTCTCTCATATTCATATATTTTAATGCTCACATTTATACATTTTGCTCTCATGCACATCCATTCAATGTTTAATGACCATTAGACCATTTAGTAAGGTAACAAACTAAAAGCAAAAACGCCTCGCAGACGCTCTTCCATTTACTTTTTTAATAAAGAAAAACAAATGGTCCGAAGATACACGGATTCATCTCCCTCCATCATGTTGATTTGAATCCGAAGTTCTGAATCTGAGCCCGCCCCGCTCGACCTTCTGAGCCAATCACAGCGCGATAATGACCTACCTTCCGTTTCAACCATACTCCTTCCGTTTCCACTATACTTTCTCTCACACATACATGCATTCTTCTCTTGCATACATATATTGTCTTCATACATACATACATTCTTCTCTTGCATACATATATTGTTTTCAGACATGCATATATTATTTATAATATTAAATGTAAACATTGAATGAATGTGCATGAGAGCAAAATGTATAAATATGAGCGTTAAAATATATGAATATGAGAGCAAAATGTATATATGTGTGAGTGAAAAATGTATAAATATGTGAGTGACAATATATGAATGTGTGCATTGAAATATGATAATATGAGAGCAGAATGTATGAATGCGTGAGTGTAAATATATACGTGTGTGAGAGTGAAAATGTATGTATGTAAGAGGAGAATGTATGTGTGTAAGAGTGAAAATATATGTATGTAAAAGGAGAATGTATGTGCGTGAGAGGACCAGTATGAATTACGGCCTGTACGGCCCCTCATACTCAAGTGTCTGTGATACGCAAACATTACTTACTTGGACTAAAACAAATACATCAATCAATGGCTTTTTGCTATACAAAATAGATAGCTTTTTTGACAAACTGTCTTCTTGAGTAGCTTCTTTTGGAGTTTGGAGTGCCAAAAATGTGCAACTCATTGCTTTAGTTTAAAATAATTTCCACAAAGATAAGTACAGATTTATAAAAATTGTAACAAAAAAATTGAAAGATATGATTAATGTCAAATATGCAGCTGATTATGAATCACAGCATTTAAAAGAACAATAAACAGCTGGACTACAATTAGTTTTTGTTGACATTTTAGTTTGAATTCAAGTTATAAGATGAGAAAAGATCAAAGAGCAACTTCACATTGAGTCGACCTGTTCAAACACACACACACACACACACACACACACACACACACACACACACACACACACACACACACACACACACACACACACACACACACACACACACACACACACACACACACACACACACACACTCTCACCCCACAGAGACATGAAGATGGCGAAGAAGACCGTGGCGGGGTTGTCGAAGAGGTGTGAAGCCCTGGCGGTCCCGCAGGCTGTGCTGAGGTGCCAGAAGTCACAGGCTCCGTCACACAGCGGACACATGGTGAAATTGAGACGCTCATCACACATCTCCAGACTGAGGAAAGGGGGGGTCAAGACTTAAGTCACAGAGCACCTTCCTCTAACAACATTGGGATGTTTTAAACAATCAATTGAGCTGAACCTAAAAAAGTATAAAATTAACTGGGGTTGTGCATCAGGCATGGATTCAGTCTAACAGGGTATGTTAAGTGTGTGATCTACTATCTACATTTTGTTTCATGCCACACACACACACACACACCCACACACACAGTCACACACAGTGCCAGCCGTCCCTTCTGTGTTCCTCCCACACAAGCATCTCTAAAGCCAGAAGCTGCAGGTATCTGGGCAATCCCTGTCTGCTGTGTGTGTGTGTGTGTGTGTGTGTGTGTGTGTGTGTGTGTGTGTGTGTGTGTGTGTGTGTGTGTGTGTGTGTGTGTGTGTGTGTGTGTGTGTGTGTGTGTGTGTGTGTGTGTGTGTGTGTGTGTGTGGTGTGTATCTTTCTAATGATCTAATTGTATCTGACATAATTTCGTCTCACAGGCATTTATGGCATTTAAACAGACCAATGTTTGTACTGTAAGAATACAACAACAAAAGATAATTCTCAAATGGATTTTGTCTCATTTTTGCACTGTCGTCAAACTGAAACGTGGGATTTTAGTGTTCCTCCTCAGATGAAGCTGCAGTGCACTTTGCAGTACCTCGGTATATTAGTATCCACCGTCGCCACTCCATATCCGAACACAATGATTCCCACTATGGAGGCTGGGATCAGCAGCTGAGTGTAAACACCGAGCCATGCGAAGTACAGTCCGATCTTCTCCCCGAAGTACTTCCTGTGGGGTCAGAGGTCAGGGGTTAGGAGGAGAAAGTAACATTGAGGCTCCGATTGACATGCTATGTTAGAGCCTAAAATAGAATAAGAAGCATGCTGTTGTTTCAGTTATTCATTATTATTTATTCATTGATCGGCTTTGCTCAGTCGGACTGACCTCAGACCAAAATATAGCCTTGAGAAAATTCAATATTTAAGACATAATGTGAAACAATCACAGGTTAAAGTTTGGAAAGCTCAGATATCTTCTTCATCAGGACAGTGTATGCCTCAAAAGGGCCACCACAATGTTGGAGTTCTGGTATGAGCAAGTCATGCTATGATAATAAATATGAATAAAACTATTAATATTCATACATTCATAAATTCATAAATACGGGTTATTAATAACTTGACCTGTAGTTAATAATGTGAATGAGCTCGTAGTTACACTAAAATGGCAGAAGAATGTTATATCAAAAAGTAATGATTAGTTTCTATATATAACATTACTATTAATTATACTAATTAATATTACTTAATTGACATCAAATCACCTCTTGAGGATCCAACTCTTGTAACACAATGATCTCGTTCTGGACCATGAATTTGGATCTCTGATTAACAAAGGTCAGTCAGTGAACTTCAATTACCAGAATGCAATGCGATGTGTGTAAATTAGATTAAGCCTGAAAACAGATGAGTTACTGATGTGATTTGTGGTCACTTTACCTGACCAGGTCAATGGGCTGGTACTTGTAAAAGGCGGAGTATTTGGCCCACTCGTCGTGAAGAACCTGACAACAGACAGGACACCGTCAGTGTGTGTGTGTGTGTGTGTGTGTGTGTGTGTGTGTGTGTGTGTGTGTGTGTGTGTGTGTGTGTGTGTGTGTGTGTGTGTGTGTGTGTGTGTGTGTGTGTGTGTGTGTGTGTGTGTGTGTGTGTGTGTGTGTGTGTGTGTGTGTGTGTGTGTGTGTGTGTGTGTGTGTGTGTGTGTGTGTGTGTGTGTGTTGTAGCAGACAGTCCTCAGAGGCAGAGCAGATTTAATCTGATGTGGTAAACCTCAGTACACGAGGTTGATGCTCAAAGAAAATCACCGATATGTGTAAGTTTCTGGTCTTTGGTTGCTAACCACAACTCCAAAACAATGTTGGCTCTTTCCTTAGGAATTCAAGTCAGTCAATCTATACGTCTGGGAAATGTTTGCTAAACTTAAAGTCCAATCTGTGACAATGTTGAACAGTTGGGAAGGAGGAACAACCTCAGAAAAAAGGAGAAAAATATAAAGAATAGACTAATGTTTAGAAAGGGGAGTTTTTCAGAAAAGGAAAGGTTATGTATAAAATACTTTTGGAGGACAGTGATTTTTCCTATTATACTCAATGACATACTCCAAGCAAGGTCACTTTCTGAAGAACTGGAGCATTGGAGTAGTTTTTCACATACAAATGGAGAGGAGGGGGAGGAGGAGGAGGAGAAGAAATACAGGAGAGTAGGTGAAGAGAGAGAAAGGAGAAAGTGGGTCTACCTGTCTGTCGCTCCTCTCCTCAGGCTGTCCGATGACCTTATAGTCACCCTGAAAAGAGAGGAGAGGGTGAGTGCACACAGGCAAGGACACTCTGTACTCGACACATACTGTACTGGTGGAAACACTATCAGTATAATCAGACACATTAATATCACTCATGTATCTTGATCCAACTAATTTCTTACATTTTCTTTAAGAGGAAAATCAAACAGCAGATAAAGGACGTCATGATAACCGATACTTCTGTACCAAGGTGACAAAATCATAAAAATGTAATGGTACCATCAGGGCTCGAGAGTAATGGTGAATAGTGTGCAAACTGTAATGAAGTGTGTATTGTAGTATATGGGTCCGTCACTTTTACTTTCCATTTTAATATGCTTATGTCGTTTTTGTTCTCCACTGTACTTGGAGATATATTTCATTTGACATTGAGATATAAACATTTCATATTTCATTTGAGTTTTTTGGCAAAAGCAAACCAACGCAACAAAGCTTTGACTCTTTGAACTTCAGTTTCCATTCTCTGCATATTGAATCCTGTAGTGAAATCAAGTGAAACCAAAGGACGTCTGCTGGGAGTTTAAAACTTACATCGTGAAGAGGGAAGGCAGCGTCATACACGCCTTTAGCTATCAGTGTGCTGATGCCTGAAAGAGAGACACCAAGAGACAGAGATAGAGCAGAATTAGGCAGATACCCCCTGACAATACACTTCAGAGGAAATCGATTCTTAAACCAAACCTTAAATCCAGCCCCTGAGAATTCCTACAATCTGAATCCCTGCAAAGCCAAGGTGAGCCCAGAAAGGAGTCCCCTATATCAGACGGTGACTAACTGCCCCCTCTCATATACTGTGAGCAGCAGTCTAACTATTTAAATTAAAACGAACTTATGAATAGGAAGAATATCCTTCTACTGTCAGAGATACACAGCCATGTCAGACTCTAACTAAGTACAGGCTCAGTGACCTCAAACTGGAAGACAACCATACAAATACAGAATATGTGCCCACTGTTTCGACAACGCTGCACTTCCTCCTAAATTGTGAAACATTCAATGAAATAAGGTACAAATTTAACTCGGTAATCCCAGGTTTTAAAGAACTTAAAGAGGCCCTATTATGTTATCTTTGGGGATTCCCTTTGTAATACTGAGACTTCTATTGGCAAGCACTTCCACACATTCTATGTGATTTTCTAAGGGGCGGGACATCTCTCAGCGCTTGACCAGAGCCGGCCAGCTAACCAATCAGAGCAGACTGGGCTCTGGTTTCAGACACAGGGTGAAAAGAGGTGCTGCAGTACAGGCAGTATGAGAAAAATAAAGAGCTTTTTGAACATGAAAGCATGGAGACAGTAGAGGCACAAAAAAGAAATAAGAACCTGAAAATGAGCAGAATATGGCCCCTTTAATGATCTCTCATAATTAAGAATACAGCTGAAAGAAGGAGACTACGCATATCTTGCAGGACTAGTCTATAAGTATCAACAAGCTACAACCTCCGAAATACACACACACATTAGGCCACACCCTTCAGATTTTCAATTAGGCAGAATGGGATTAGTTCACGTAGCTCCTGCTTTGAGTCTTTGGAGTGTTCTCGAGGGAACCCTGACCTGTGAATGTCACACTGTCACACATCAGATGACCTGACACAGGCAACCTAATGAATCAATTAAGTATTGGTGCCTCAAAGGAGACCGGGAACCTTGTAGTGATTAGCTGTGCTATTAATGAAACCACACACACACACACACACACACACACACACACACACACACACACACACACACCACACACACACACACACACACCACACACACACACACACACACACACACACACACACACACACACACACACACACACACACGCACACGCACACGCACACGCACACGCACACGCACACACACACACACACAGAAAGTATTTTTGTCCTCCAATAGGTCGATCCCTCAGGTTCACCAACCTGTATGAATGTTCGTGTATAAAATAGAAAAGGCATGAATAGCAAAGCTCATTAATGTGCCCACACGTGTTTCATATATAACATAAACATGGCTGAACATAAAAAAATGGTTACACACATGCTCACTCAACCAGCTAGATACTACCACAGCTCCTGCTTTAATCTCTGCATGACCCAGGAAGTATGACCCACTTGTGGAGTAAATGGAGGAGGAGACACGAGTGTGTGTTACAAAATGAATACACCAATCATGAAGAGGAAAGTCTCTCCAGCTTCCCTACAGCTCCACCAGTAGCCTCTGGCTGAGACCTTCTGCTGTGATAGAAAGCCAAGCAGACATATGGTGGACACTGAAAATCAAAAGGGTGTCAGATCTTTTCTATATGGAGGCTCTCATACATGCACGCAGATGTTATAAGCATGTGATAAAAAATATAAACAGTTGAATGTCTTGGAGCTCATTTAGAAAATCCCGAGAGGAGATTGATTTGTCTCATAGGGACCATTTCTCAAGCAGGGTCAACAATATTTGTTTCTTTTCATTGTCTGTTAAGAGTCTTTTTTAGCTGTTTTTGCCATCTCCATAGACTTTGTAGAATTTGCTTTAAAAAGTCTTAAACCCTGACTCTGTTTGAGTTGTAAGTGTTCATGAGCAAGTTGTCTTTTGGGAACAGCCTGGTGAGAAAAAAAAGGTTGCCTTAAAAACTAAATCCCAGATAAATGTGGGTCTCTGGTTGAGTGGTCTTTGGTGGACTTGTCCTCCAGCAGTAACACTCTCTGGTGATTTATCATGTAGTAGTGACAGTCACTAAAAAACTCTCTGGTTACTCGTCCTTCAGGAGTAACGCTCTCTGGTTACTCGTCCTTCAGGAGTAACGCTCTCTGGTTACTCGTCCTTCAGGAGTAACGCTCTCTGGTTATTCGTCATGTAGCAGTAACGCTCTCTGGTTATTCGTCGTCCAGCAGTAACGCTCATTGTAAACTCATCTACCCGAGTTTTCAAATGGTGCTGGTCGATTCCAATTATCCAATCATCGCACTCCTTGTTTGGGTCTCCAGCTGTACTCGACTTCACCTCCTCACTGAACTCCCAGCAGGCATATCAATATCACCTCCCAGAGTTTCAGCACAACCTTGACCCGCTACTGACAGTTAGTTTCACCCTGGAACAAGTGTTAGACTGCATCTGCTTTTACTTTTTTGAGGGCCAATACCAACACTTTTGACTTGACCACTTTGACTTGTATCGAGGATGGTGTAAAAGTATGAACCTGTGATCGGCCTCACAACATTTTACTAGAAGGGCTTATAAAGCATTTCATTAAGTCAAAGCAGGTTTAGACTCCAGTATTGTGATATATAACCTCTTTCGGTGGACCTCTGCTATTTAAGAAAGTGACTTCCAAAAAAAATGAGGCCATTAAACTTCAAAAAGGGATTTAAGATTATATTGCCCTAATTCCTGCTTCTTGCTAACCGAGTTGGACAGAATCATCAATTGATCTGCGCACCATTTTACCCCCGACTATCATTCATGTAATCACTGACAGTCACACAGACACACATGTTGGTATCCTCACCTATGGTTTGACAGGTCCGTACACACACCGTCCGTCGCAGGATCTCATACACCTGAAACAGAATCAAGAACATCAGGCTTGAGATAAAAGCTAATCGTCCGAAAACGTAAACAGAAAGGAGAATCGGATTCAAATTTGAATCAACACTTACTATTCGGCCCCGTGTGGCATTGTCAAAGAAAGTGTCTTTAGATGGGATGTTGTACCTAAAAGAAACAACGATTACTAATGTGAGCACTTTCTGTGTGTTCATCTTATAGTGTATCACATGCAAACATATCAGGAAGACACTTTAATTAAAGAGTGGAGTTCAGTAACCGGGTCTTATTTTCTCAAATCAAACTGCTTGCCATTACACAAAGGCTTTAGGGTTAAACTGCAGGGCGAATTTTGGAATGGAATACAATTTAGTTTGTATTACTTAGTACATGTACAGTATGTTAACTAACAATGCAATCTCGCCAAAAACGGTATTCCTGTGAGCCTAGTAACTCCAGATCAGCAGAAAACAGCCACCTTCTGCCGGCAACAAGCTCCAGGGTGAAGCCAAATTAGAACTGATTTCCCCTAAGGGTATTAAATTAATCAACAGTGCTTTTTATTGGTTTTGAATTAAACTTCTATGTTTTTAAGATAGTTAATGTGCCACTTCTATTAAAAAGTGACACAGTGTTGCTTTATATTTTTGTGATTTCTGCTTATCTTTGAAAATCCTGAGTTCTGCGGTTTCAAACAACAAAGGAAGTTTTGCAGGAGTGTGTGTGAGTGTGAGTTTTGTTACTCACAGGTGGAGTTTGTCCCTGGAGAAGCAGTGTGTGAGGAACTTGGTGCGTTCATGGTCCTGATGTGGGACTTTGGGCTGGAAAGGCTGGTTCATTTTCCTCCACACTGTGCTCATAGTGGACCCGAAACCACTTTCCTCTTTAAGGTCATAACTCTGATGAAACACACGACACATAGTTAGTCTAGTTATTACAAATGCTGGTCATTAATGCCCAAAGTGTCTTACTGCTCTGATGAAAAAGTATCTATTTAACATGAAATGTTGCAGAGGCATCAGTCTCTGTGTTTCTGTAATATCACTATAGAAAAACAATCAAACATCAACAGATTGTGGCTGGTCCCAGAAACAAAATATCTGTGACTTACTGCTAAGAAAATGTAAGCTGGTAATGAGCTCTCACCGTCTTTGTGGGGACTTTAATCCTGAGAAACTCGGCCTCTCGACACAGTACGGGCCAGGGGGCATGGACACGAGTGAAGCTGTGGCCCTGGGTCTTCAACTGAAAAACAAGAAAAGGATCTGAAACATTGAGGAACATAAAATAACATCTCTACCCAGTCACATGGTCGGATTCATGTGGGTTAAAGTTAATGCTAGAGTGTAACAAAAAGCTTTTTTTTTATACAGCAGACGTTCATGGTTTGGGATATATTACCAGATTTCTTGGCTGCAGAGACCTGCTGGCTTACCAGACCATCTGTCAGGGCTGCTTTGCAATGCAGTATATAGTTGACAGGCCTCAATATGAGCTGGACTTGCCCCTCAGCTGCTGTTGCCTCAAGACCTCCAAACGGGCTTATTGAGCTGCAACTTCATTTATTTGTTCAGACCATATTCCAAAATCCAAGTTATAAGTGTTTCCCCTGGTGAGTGAGTGACTAAGCGAGTATTTTTTAAATTCTTTTTCCAAATAATACCTGCAAAATTGTTGATTGCCTTTGTTTCAGATATATTTTTTGCAATAAAAGTCCATTGTTTGTGTCTTTGATTATGAAGTAGTAAAATCAATAAATGCTGTTTAATTTAAAAGTAACTCATTTATTTGCATGTCACTTGTTACTTGATAGACGCTAAAAAAAGTCCTGAGAGTCGAACACAGAGAATTGAAAGAGCAAGGAGAGGTGAGAAAGTAAATTAAGTAAAGTAAAGCGGTAGGGGAACATTGAAATTAGACTTTCTGAAGCAGGCATCTTTGCCATACGCTGGTTCCATTGAAACACTTTGGCCAGCAGCATAACATGACTGGTATATATCAAATATAGATGTAGCTACTGGTCCCAAAGCAAAGCCTGGAGCGGTTCTCTTCACTGCTTTGTTATCGCAGCCTGTTTCTGACACATTTGAAAACTGTTATGTTCCTGTGATCACTTCCATCAAACATATATAATTTTCTGTATTTCAAATACAATCCTGACTCATGTAGCTTTTTCCGCTAATGAATCATTGTCCAATGCACACTCTGTAATTATTATTTGACACTAACATGCATTAGCAAAATGAATAATAATGATCAGAACCAAACACCATCAGAAGGTATGTGACTGACTCTGAGTAGCATTGAATTAACAAACCCATATCTAAAAAACAAAAATGTTATTGTGAAGGAATTCAAAGTGCTGATCCAAAAGCGATACAGCAGCCGTTATGGAGATGCTTGCGGTGTGGGTGAGAGTGTAAGGGGAAATGAAAAGGGAGACAGCAGGGGACGATAGCCAGGTAACTTTACCCTCCACAGACCCCCCATCAGCTTCTGCCAGAGGGGGGGTGAAAAGAGAAAGGTGGCATGGTAAACGATGGGAACCTGAAACCACTCTCTTTCTCCTCTCTCGACTCCTACTCTCCTGAGATCTTTCACTCCCCCTCCTCACATATATTGCTGCACCTTCTGCTCCGCGCCCACACCGACTCACTGACTGATTGACTGACTGGCTGACTCACTGACTGTCACTCTTACTCCTCTTATATTTCATGATCTGTCCTTCACTCACATCCACACTGTCCTTTGTCCTGCTGAGGGACACAGTGGAGCGTAAAGCCACCTCACCTGAAATGTTATTAAGTTTCCCGAGGAAAAAGCTTACCGGTGTTACACGATGTTAGCGGTTAAACCAGACCGACGTTACACAATGCTACACAATGTAATCAGTGGTATTACATAGTTATACTTGTATAACTTGGGTTACACAAAGTTACCGGTGTTACATGATGGGACCGGGGTTACAAAATGTAACTGGTGTTACACAATGTTACCAGGGTTACACTGTGTAACTGGTGTTACATAATAGCCGCGTTCACACCGGAGTACTTTTCACCGTACTTATCGCGTTTAGTTCCGTTAGTACCCCTTATGTCGCGTTCACACCAAAAAGAGCACTTAATCTCGGGAACTTTTACCCCCATTTTTAGTGCCTGCTGAGAGATGGTACTTTCCTGGGGGAAAAAACGCAGAGAGACTAACTTATGGCAACACAAAATAAAACATGGGAGCAGTGTCGGCGTTCTGGCGATTTACTCGGAAGGCTTCAGTAGAAGCTGCAGGGAGTCCCAGCAGCTTCTACTGAAGCCAGTCCCCAACTCCGGGGACTTCCGGCCGGGGACTCCGGGTGGCAGTATACACAGTGAAGTGGTTTGCGGCCTGCCAGTAAACCCAAAGCAGAAGAAGACAAAGTGACGTCAGCGGCTCATTTGGGTAATCTTCCCTCAGGGAAAAGTATTCCGGTGTGAACGCGATCTGTACTAAATGCCCTGGGGTAATAAGTGCCGGGGCACTGATTGCCGGCACTAAATACGGCAAAGTACTTGGTGTGAACGCGCCTAATGTTACAGAATATTACCAGTATTACAGGATGTTACCGGGGGTTACCCGATGTTAGTGGTGTTACATGATATAACAAGTATTACAGGATGTTAGCGGTTTTACGGGATGTTACCGGGGTTACAGATTGTGACCTGTGTTATATTATGTTACAGGTGTTACCCGATGTTAGTGGTGTTACTTTGTTACATGATGTTAGTTGTGCAACATGCCTGTTTGGGCAGGCGTTTGGGTAACTTGTGTGCTTTTATTCTATGTTTTTCTTGTGTTTTTCTTGTGTTTTTCACAATGTATTGTGTTTTTACCACTTCTTCAATCGTATGATGTTTTAATTAGGGCTGTCAGTCGATTAAAATATTTAATCGCGATTAATCGCATGATTGTCCATAGTTAATCGCGATTAATCGCAAATTAATCGCACATTTTTTATCTGTTCTAAATGTACCTTAGAGGGATATTTTTCAAGTTTTTAATACTCTTATCAACATATGAGTGGACAAATATGCTTTATATGTTTGTTTATTATCATTTGAACAATGACAAATATTCTCATGAATATTAAACACAACAACCTGAACATTACAAATATTCGCCTCAATTCAACCTAGAACCTCTCTCATACAATAATACTGTGTGTGTGTGTGTGTGTGTGTGTGTGTGTGTGTGTGTGTGTGTGTGTGTGTGTGTGTGTGTGTGTGTGTGTGTGTGTGTGTGTGTGTGTGTGTGAGAGAAAATGTGGAGACACTGTGATTGATCGTTGGAGCTATGTGCCGCTCAAGGCATATATGCTCGAACGTGTGCTGCCTGGACGCTGCAATCATGTAGCGCGTACTATCCGTGCTGAGTGCGCTGACTTTTCGTACAATGTCCCACTGTCTGGCTACCTGCATAAAGTCAAGTGCTCGGCGCAGTTGTCGGCGAAATGTCATTGAAACAGCTCCTTATATCCGTTAGCGCAGCTAGCTAGCACCAGATGCTAACAACAACAACACGTAAGGTGTGCCTCGCTCGCGCGAGTCGCGCCACACATACACACACTCCCTCCCGGTCCTCCCGATGGCCAGTCCAAGCCTGCCGGTGAGCGTGGAAGTGTGGTCTGCCACAAGCGGGCGGCAGGAGCGGGGCTGTCAGCATCAGCTTGTAGATGGTATTTTAAACTCGATGCGCTCTGAAACTACGGGGCGGCCGAGGACAAAAAATACACATGCGTTAATCGCGTTAAAATAATTAGTGGCGTTAATTTTTTTTTGCGTTAACGCGTTATTAACGCGTTAACTTGACAGCCCTAGTTTTAATGCTTTGTCAAGCACTTTGTGACTATGTCTGTGAAAAGCGCTTCATAAATAAATTGTACTTACTTACTTATTTAACCGTGGTTACATGTTGTTACAAGTATAACATGATGTTACCAGTGTTACCACCATAGACTGTATATATAAAGGTTACCACACAATGTTACCATAGTAACCATGGTTACATAATGTTATCGGTGTTGCAATTTGTTTATAGTTTTTGCTAAAGTGTATCACACAAGAGTTACTCTAAGTTAGATTACACTTCCTTTAAGCCCTGCCTGCCTTTCCCCTTTCTTACGCCTGAAGAACATGGACAAGTCTCGTTATATTATCATCGGCCCCTCCAACATCTGCAATCCCGCAAAATCTATTTTTTCCTCAGACTCTTACCAGGTGCCAGAATTTATTACAGAATTAAGAAATTAGCAATGATTCATGGATGTTATATTTAAATGCAACAGCTACCTCATCCTTTACTTTCACAATTACACTTTTTCTTCATCATCATTTAGCTATACCTCCAACCAACATTCATTTTATTCTACCATTGCTCACTTTCATTTCTTAGCTCTCTCACCCCCTTTTCCTTCCTCCTCCTCCCTCTACCCCTCCCCTCCTTCCCTTTTTCATCTCGCCATCAAAAAGAAGGGGATATAAATACCTTTCAGCCTGGAGAAGGTTAATTAGTAGAGAGATTTCCAATTAGCTCTTTATCTCTGTAGGGGGGGTAAGTAGGACGCAGCCGGGGGCATCTTTGGATGGGGGGAGGGGGGGGGGCAAAGAATATGAGAAGGTGATCGATTAGGCGATTGGCTTGCTAGGTAGATAGTGAAGCGGTGGGGAAAGAGGAGAACACAGAGAACGACTCAGACAAAGACAGAGAGACAAAGAGAAACCGCATGGATAGTTATTAGAGTCATTGAATTAGGTTAAAAGCTGCGGGGGCTGACATTACAGTAGCTCCTTAGAACTGCAGGGATTAACCTGGATACACTGACTACAGGCTACCTGTGGCCTCACACTTATTAAAAGCTACTGTAACATGGGGAGCAGCTACAGGTTTCAGCTGCAGAGCTGTATCATCAAGTATATGACAAAGTGTAAAGAAAAAAACAGGAGAGTATCAAAATGTAATTTCATAAGATGTTGGGCTCATACATGTGTGATTTGCCCAGTTTTAGTTCTGCCTTCACCCGAGTCTGGTAAATAACCTTTTCTTTAAGTAAGCCGCTGTAGTGCCTGGATCCTCCTACTGAGCAGCAGAGTTCAGTGTATCAGTATCACAGTATTACAATTAACGTTACCCTACCACCCACTGCCTGTAAGCTAGACTCTTTAACATGGGCCACACACATAAAGTGGAGCCAGGGTTAGGGTTAGGGTTAGAGT